GGGTAAATCGTGGCTTACTCGTGTGACAACGTGGAGGGGCCAATTCGACTTCTTCCAGCAGCTCCCACCATTCAGGGGTGATTGTGAGCGACACGGAAGCCAGCACTTCCCCTCGATTGTGGCTGGTGCGAAACAGTTGACGCTTGTCACTCGTCATCTGCAATTTTCCTTTCCTGAACTGTACATAATATAACTACTTGATATATTGTTGCTTGCTTCTGTTAATGTGTATACAGAAGCCTTCGCGGGGCGGCCGTATCCAGGATTCATGCTAGCGAATCGGGTTTGTCTAATAAGCGGCTGTAGGAACACGGCCCCAGTTGATGCTACACATATCGCTTAAATATATATTAGCGTAAAATTCTCCTCACACCACCCACTTTTTGCGACACGAATGCTTGTCCACACACACACACACCCAATCAGATCCCTCCGCCCATTGTATTTGAACACACCTATTGATTTTCCGGCTAGGTACAAGCTTTGCACGACTTTCTACAGTACCCAAACGACTCCTCATTCCCAATCATATAATCCTTATACCCCTTGCACTCCCCTCGTGCCGCCCAAATCTCGCAGAACGGATGCTCGTCCACGCACCCAATCAAATCCCTCCGCGCAGTGTACTTCTGGATTGCGATGGATTTTTCTGCCGTCCACTTGGGTGGGCCCTCAAGAACCGGGCAGTTTCGGCGACCGGCAGAGGGGTTGTGGTAACCAGATGCGGTTACTTGAAAAAAACAGCAGTGCGTCTCCTTTGACTGGTGGGACTGAGGAAAGCGATTCAGGGGCAGGGGGAGGGAGATATGAGAAGGGTGATGGCAGAAGAGCAGAGCATCTCCTTTGACTGGTGGGACTGAGGAAAGCGATCCAGGGGCAGGGGGAGGGAGATATGAGAAGGGTGATGGCAGAAAGGGAAGAAGAGCAGAGCATCTCCTTTGACAGGTGGGACTGAGTGGTTTGATATGGGGGTTGAAAATGGGAGAGGGGGTGGGGAGGAAAGAAGTAAGGTTGTGGTAACCAGGCATGGTTACTTGGAAGTAGAGCAAACATCTCCTTTGACTGGTGGGACTGAGTGGAATTTGTGGGTATTAAGGGAGGGAGGGGGGCATTGGAACGGAAGGCGGGAAGGGGAAGGGTCATGGTACCAGATTGGTTTCATAAGAAACAAATGCAGCACATCTCCTTTGACTGGTGTGACTGAGAGTAAGGGCTTATGTGTAGGGAGGCAGGAAAGGATTCGACAAAGAATAGAGATGAAATTCTACTCCATGTACACTAATTAAACAATAGAGACCATGCGAAACGAGTCGTGTACTGAGTCAACTCAAAGCACGACTCATTCTCCACCATGTACATAATGTAAACTATCGATACCATTCAGCACACATACCTGACACGCCTTGGCGGGCACATGGAGATAGGGACGAGTCCCAGGGCCAATGTGAGTGCTCCGACTGGGGGGAGCGACGGGAAAGAGAGGGGGGGGGGGGGGGGGGGGGGGGGGGGGGGGGGGGGGGGGGGTGGGATGCAAGAAAATAGCGAGAGATGTTAACGGCAGCAACTAGCAGACATGGCGAGAGGGATGAGTCCCAGGGCCAATGTGAGTGCCTAAGGCCAAAAGATTGGAGGGACGGGAGAATGGGGGGGAAATGCGAGAAATTAGCGAGAGATGTAAGGGTATGGCAGAGAGTTGTTGACATACAGCCGATTGGTGTTCATGTAGCACCCACCTATTTTATTCGATAATAATTAAAAAAAAACTAGGATAAACGGAGAAATTGTATCCTACAGTACCTTGCCCTGGGGGAAGTTCACTTCGCCGCCTTTTTTGGACGTCCGAGAGGAAAAGGACAAGCGTTGCCACCCGGTGGCCGGACCTCTGTGTGTCAACGTTATCCCGGTAAAAACTCCAGATGCACGTCATATGCTTGACCCTCGTTGAACGAACCTGTGTCCGAGCCTGCGGTCTGGTTCGGACAAGGGAAAGCAACAAAAGGTGGTGCCTAAGGCCAAAAGATTTGTGGCACAGCCTCAGCTGCACCCCACGACTGGGCCCATCCCTGATGGCCTAGGTTTGGTCCATACCTAATGGCCAGGTTTGGATACAAGCTAGCTAGGATGAGCAAGGAGGCAATCGAGAAAACAAAATCAATGTCAATGCAATGAACTGGAACTTAAGCAAGTTCCTCTGGGAAAGAAGATAGAAAAGAATCATCGAATGTTGTACGCGATTCAAGAATGTTAAGTGCGTTCTGGGGCAACTGGATAAGTCATTGCGGAAATTGACAAAAAAACAAAAACAAATGTGAATGAATTTAGGTTACTATACTCCCTAAACAATGCACGAATGAAAGGCCCGGCATTTACCTCTGGGAAGAAAAAGGAAGGATGCAATCCGGTCCTCTATGGCTCGAAGGCGTGGGTTCTGAAGGAAAGGAAGGAAAGGATACACACAGACAAGCAAGCAAGTTAACAATCTGAGTCAAACTTAAAAGTTCACACGCACTCCGGTCCTCTATGGCCGAAGGCCTGGGTTCTGAAGGAAGGGAAGGAGAATAGTCCGGGGTTAGGGTTTGGGAAAGACAAGCAAGCCGTTGAAGGAAGGATGCAATCCGGTCCTCTATGGCTCGAAGGCGTGGGTTCTGAAGAAAGGAAGGAGAGGATGCACAAGGCAAGGATGCACAAGGCAAGGATGCACAAGGCAAGGATGCACAAGGCAAGGATGCACATGAAACATTTGAGTTAGACTTGGCAGGCCACTTGTGATCATGCCTTCCTCTATAGCCTCACAGTGTGTTTTCTGAAGAAATAGAGAAGTCGCACATGCACACGCACGCACACACACACTCACATCCCCCCTTTCCCTCCGCCCGCCCCCCCCCCCCCCTCTCCCACCCCCTTCCCCCCGCCTCACATTCACAGACACTCACACACTTGCCTGATACTTGCGCAGATACGTGGCATTGAACATCCTCTGGCGAGCGATCTTTGGCTTCGCCTGCCAGGCAACAGGCGAAGGCAGCATGGCAGCATGGCAGTATGCATGGCAGCATGGCAGCATGGCAGCATGGCAGCATGGCGCATGCACACGGCAGCATGGCAGCATGGCAGCATGGCATCACGGCAGGTGTGACAAGTCAGTCATGTGGTAATTGGGAGATAAGTTGGTTGATGGTGACTTGGAGACGTCTCAAAACACTCCTTTCCACGTGGTTGATGGTGACTTGGCCGGATGGCAAAATGATTCATTGAGGAAGCACAAATCGAGCTAGTTCAGTCAGAGGCAGCAGGGCTCAGCGCTCACCATCGCCACTGCTGCCCTGAGCTCAGTCAGAGGCAACAGCGCTCACCATCGCCACTGCTGCCCTGAGCTCAGTCAGAGGCAACAGCGCTCACCATCGCCACTAGAAACGCACAATCATCTGGCGACAGAAGTTGGGAAGTTGTTTGTACACACATACACCCTGCAGACAGAAAGGGTTGACTTTTGAGTCTGGCTCAAAAGGCAGGAGGGCTCACCATGGCCACTAGAAACGCACAGTCGTCTGGCGACAGAAGCTGCTTGTAAACATACACCCTGCAGACAGAAAGAACAAGCGATTTGGAACGCAACAGGGTAAGCTGCGATGATAAATCAATTAAAAAACAGAAAAAAAAAAAGCATCTGGGTGGGTGTAGACGGAACAACATTCAGTTTGATAATCAGTTGTGACTAGGTACAGTGTACCTAGGTGTACACAACACCTACCTATGTACGTATTACAGGGAATTCTTTTCTTAATAGAACGGAATTAGTGTGAGATAGGCGTACAGTACCTGGGTGTAGATGACACCTTGACAACCCGGCTTTCATTAAACACCCACTCCGAACCTCCCGCCATCTGAACGCCATTAGGCTCGGCAGAGTTCAGTAAAGTGCTGGCACCGAGAGGGCTGAGACGATCGCTCCCTGCCACGCCCCGGATCCCCCCAACAACTTTGTATGCGTCACTGCTGCTGCTGCTGTTGCTGCTGCTGCCGCTTGTGATGCTGCTTGCTTTGGCTGCGGCTAGTCTGGCCTCCCGCGCTTGAAGCAGCTCGGGGGGTGCCCCAGAACTCGATGCTGATTGGTCGAAGCAGAGAGCGAAGGGGAAGAATGAAAAAGAGGGGGAGAGGTGTGGGGGAAGGAGGGGGGTGGAAGATAGTGGAATGGGGGGGTTGAGCGGAGGGGGAAGGGAGGGAGAGGACGAGTGCTTGAAGCAGCTCGGGGGTGGAAGGGGGACGTGGATTGGTTGAGAGGAGGTGACAGAAACGAAGGGGGAACCCGAGTCTCAACCAAACGAGTCTCTGTCTCACGACCTAGTGAATTTCGCCCTAGCGAGTACCATTCTAACGAGTCTCACACTAACGAGCCTAACAAGCCTCACCCTAACGAATCTTGTAGTCCTCTTGACGGGGGAACCCAAACCGCAAGAAGGAAAACTACAAGGACGGGGAAGACCCGCATATCGACAGCCATTAGAAAAAGGAATGGGTCGAAGTGCGCGCCGAGCTGTGCGTCGAGCTGCTGCGCGCCGAGTTGTGAGTAAAAACCGCGCGCCGAGCTGATATATGAAAGTCTTAAAAATATGAAAAGAACGCTAGAAAATTATTGTTGGGAGTCGGATGCGCGGCAAAATGCAGGGAAAGCGACTGGAAACAAGTTTAATAAAGTCACGACGAGAACTGCGGTATTCTTGAGGGCGGAGCAGATCGGTAGATATTAAGGAGTGTCGTGACGGCATCCGAATTCTGACACACTTTCAGATTTGAATGTTGCACACGTTCGTGCGATCTAGAAACAGGCGCGTTCCAAGCTAAAAGTGTGCAAATATCCACCTGTTCTTATTTACACCCTTTTTAATCAGAGAAACTAACAACGTGCTCCTCAATAGAGGACAAAAACGTTTCCTCTTAGCTGTAAACCTTACAAACATATCTCAAGTATGCAACATCATGCATTTTTTCCTGCTACTGATTTAGCTACTGGCATCCCATCCAAATGCACGTCGCAACGCTTGTGCGATGGCATTAGCAGCATCAGGTATTGACCCATGTGACAGAAGGGTGTCACAAGATTGGGAAGCACCGCTCCTGAACCCAGCAGCACCACTGCCATTCCCAGCAGCACCTCTGCCAGTTCCATTACCACTGCTGCCAAACCCATCAGCACCACTGTCAGTTTCAGCAGCAGGTGGGTGCATCATTCGCCATGCCACGTGCCCATCCGGACTTACAAGAACAGCACACGACTCCCCCACCCCTGATGACTTTTGAGTCGACTCAAAGTACCTGCAGCAGGTGGGTGCATCATGCGCCATGCCACGTGCCCATCAGGCCTTACAAGAACAGCACCCGACTCCCCCCCCCTGCCAACCATGCCAAACCACTCCCCCCTCTCTGCACCCCTCTCCTCTGCTGTGCTCGCTGCTTCTCCCATACCAGCTGAACCGGCTGTATCGGCGTGTTGTTGCCTGGGTGGGATGCGGTCTGTCAAGAGAATGACTTCAAGAGACGTGTGACTCGAACCAGTGGCAGCTGTAGCAGCTGTAGCAGAAGCAGGTGGGCAGAAGCAGAACGAGCAGCATCAGTAGCAGCAGCAGCAGCAATGCCACCAGCGGCAGCAGCAATGCCACCATCAGGAATGGGCCTGAGGACCCAAGGCGTGAGAAGGCAGGGCGAAGGTGAACCCGCATCAATTGCACAGCCCGTTACACTGTTACCTCTAAACTCGCTTGCACTGACTCCCTTCCCTGTTACACGGTTGCCACCCCCCCCTTCCGTGCTAGCAGGCTCTACGCAGAGGCCGAGAGGGGCAAGGAGGGAAGGGAGAGGGGAGAAGGAGGAGGGGTGGGGAGCGAGGAGGACGAGACGGAGGGGGAGGCAAGTGAGGGAGTGTGCGCGGAGAGAGGAGGCGAGCCAGAGGGGAGTGTGGGGGCCGAGAAGGAGGAGGAGAGTGGGGGTGATGGAGCCGAGAGGAGAGAGGTCGATGGAGGAAAGAGAAGGGCCCTGCATGCAAGGAAATTTGAAGGGGCGGCATAGGAGAGAGAGGGGGAAATGGTGAAGTGAATCTGGGAAGGACTGTGGGGAGATGGAGAAATGTTGATTTGAGTTTGTGAAGAAGTGTGTGGGGAGAGGGAGGCGCAGAGTGGGAGTGATGCAGCCAAGCGGAGAGAGTCGATGGAAGAGGGAGAAGAGCCCTGTGATGGTGGGACGGGATAAGAGCCCTGTGATGGTGGGACGGGATAAGAGCCCTGTGATGGTGGGACGGGAGAAGAGCCCTGTGATGGTGGGACGGGTTTTGAGGCGCCTCAAAAGTGATGGTGGGGCGGGATGGGAAAAGGGATAGGAACGAGAGGGGCGGAGTGAAGTGGGTTTGGCATTGGCAGGAGTGAGTTGGGAAAAAAACGAACGAAAGGGGAGTGGTGGTGGATGAGAGGGAGGAGGAGAGTGGGAGTGATGGAGCCAAGCCAAGAGGACTTTTGAGTCGACTCAAAAGTCAACTTGATGGAGCCAAGCCAAGAGGAGGGAGATTGCAGCAAGGTGGGGAGGAATTGGGGAAAGAGGTGCCCTTCAACCGAGGGTCTACATTTTCCATCGGCAGGTGGGCTGCTGAGATTTTCTGACAGTGCAGCAGGTTTGGCAGGGAAGCGCAGCAGGGCGAGTGTGTGGTGTGGCAAGGAAACACCAGGAATAGAGAGGGCCAATAGACTAAGCATAGTATTAGAGGAACAAGAACTTACGATTTGGAAGTCTAGATGGGGTGGGGTGCCCTGGGACCTGTGTGCGCTGATGCTGCTTGCACTCTGGTGTTCCTTAGGTGCATGCTGATGGTCCCTTGCAGCAACAGCAGAAAGCAGTAGCTGGGTGAGCGTGCGGTGTTGCAGGCGGGCGCCAGGGAGAGTGGAGGGCGTGAAAGAGGTGGAGGTGGGAGAAAGAGAAAGAGAAACTTACAATCTTGAAGTCGAGAGGTGATGCGGTTCCTTGGACCCACGTGTGCTGCTTGCAATCTGCAGCTGTTTGGACTGATGGTCCGATGTTGCAGCGGCAGAGGGTAGCAGCAGGGTGAGTGTGCGGTGTGGCAGGGTGCGTGCCGGGGAGAGTGGAGAGCGTGAGGGAGTGGTGGGAAGAAAGGGAAAGGGCAACTTACGATTTCGAATTCGAGAGGTGATGCGGTTCCCTTGGACCCACGTGTGGTGCTTGCACCCGGCGGCTCTTTGGACTGATGGCCTGTTGTTGCAGCAGCGGAGGGCAGCAGCAGGGTGAGCATGCGGTGTGGCAGGCGGGCGCCGGGAGAGTGGAGGGAGTGAAGGAGGTGGAGCTGGCTCTTCGAGCTTGGGAATCGTATGCTGCTGCTTGAGGGACGTCTGAAGGGGACAGGGACAGGCGCCCTTCTTGTACCTGAAGGGAGGGATGGGAAGGAATGAAAAGGAGCGCCCGGGAGAGTGGAGGGTGTGAAGGAGGTGGAGCTGGCAGCATGTGCTTGCGAGTCATAATGTGCTGCTTCACGGGTGTCTGAGGCAGATCGGGACGGGGCACCTGTACCTACGAGGGGGATTGGGCTGGAGAGAGTTGCAATTGAAGTGGGGTGAGAAGAACGGGGGGACGAGTCCAGTAAGTGTGCATGTGGTGAGTAGAGTCAAAGTTGCAGCGTGCAGTGGGGCAACAAGCATTTGCACCCAACCCTACCCCTCCAAACCAATCCATGCACATCCCCATGCATCCCCACACATCCCCACACATCCCCACCCGTCCCCACCCACCTCCACCCATTCCCACCTAAAACCCAAGTCGTGCTGTGGGAAAAGCAGCTGCAGGCTCTTCCCCTCCTCCAAACTCCTCTGCACCGCTGCCAGCCGCTCTCTTCCCACAGGATTGGCTGGGTTCAGCAGCCAATCAGAGAGCAGCAGCTGTCGCCCTGCTGATAGCCCAGCCTCTATGAGGGTCGCCTGGAGCTGACGTGGCAGGAACTGATTGGCTGTTGAAGAGGTAAGGGCAGCTGAGAAAAGGCTGGGCAGCAGGGGGAGGGAAAGAGGGAAGGAGGGAAGGAAGGCGAGTGTTGGTCACGCCAACTGTGCATCCCTCTACATCCTTTTGAGAATTCTCAAAGAGCAGAGAGTTCAGCAGCATGTATGTACTATCCACCTTTCCGCGTGTAGTAAGTCGATTTTTTAATCGACTCAAAAATCGACTTACAACTTGAGAATTCTCAAGAGTAGAGAGTTCAGCAGCATGTACTATCGACCTTTCCCACCCCACTTGGAAGTACTCTCTTAGAGTCTCAGCAACGTTGAGGCCTCTACACCTCCTCCTTCTGCAGCACATATATGCTCACTCACTCCCTCACGCACCTGGCAGGGCTCCATCCAGACCCAGGGCTCCATCCAGACCCAGGGCTCCATCCAGACCCAGGGCTCTGGGAACAGCCTGGGCAGACTCGAAGTTATTCACACTGAACTGAAGTTTGTATTTCCCTCCGCTGGCACCCACGGCCACTGGCACCCATGGCCACTGGGCGTCTCTCCGCCTCGTGCGAGGCGAGCAGGGCAGGGGGGGAGGGGAGAGGGTGGAGCAGAGCAGAGCTCTTGACCCACTGGCTCCACTAAAGAGAGAGAGAGAGGAGTCAGTCGGCACTCACGCACCTGGCAGCGTTGGGTTCAAGACCCAGAGCACGAGGGACAGCCAGAGCGGACTCTTGAGGCGCCTCAAAACACGAGGGACAGCCAGAGCGGACTCCAAGCTGCTGACGCTCAGGTGAGTGTTGCCCACAGCCACTGGGCGCCTCTCTGCCTCCCCCCCTCTCCGCCTACAGTGGGTGTGGACGCACCTGGCAGCGTTGGGTTCAAGACCCAGAGCTCCTGGCACAGCTAAAGCTGACTCGAAGTTGTTGACGCTCAGGTGAGTGTTCCCCATGGTCACCGGGCGCCTCTCTGCCTCGTAGGAGGAGAGCAAGGTGGGGGAGGCAGTACCTTGAAGCAGAAACACCCACGCACCTGGCAGCGTTGGGTTCCAGACTCAGGGCTCTGGGGACAGCCAGAGCAGACTCGAAGTTGCTGACACTCAAATGGGTATTTTCCACGGCCACTGGGCGCCTCTCTGCCTCGTAGGAGGCGAGCAGGGCGGGGGAGGCGGTGCCTTGGAGCAGAGCTGCGAGCTTCCATGCGAGGTTGTGCGCGTCCTGAATGCCCGTGTTCATGCCTGGTTGGGGTGGGGTGGGGTGGAGGGTTGGAAGGGAGGAGGGGTCGCCCCCACAAGGTTTCGCCCTCACTGCCCACATCATGTGCATTTTTGGAGCTGACATGGGGTGGTCCATACGTCCGCACGTACCTTTTGAGTTGACTCAGAACTGACATGGGGTGGTCCATACGTCCGCACGTACCTTTGAGTCGACTCAGAACTGACATGGGGTGGTCCATACGTCCACACGTACCTTTTGAGTCAACTCAGAACTGACATGGGGTGGTCTATACGTCCACACGTACCAAAGCCGACGGCCGGGGGAAAGTGATGGGCCACAATGCTGCAGGGTGTTTTTGAGAATTCTCACAAACACCCTGCAGCACGATGAGCCGCATTTCCCACCAAAATGACACGCGGCTCATATCCCTCCTTATCTGCTTGTCACCCTTCTGCAAGTGGTCACTCCACAAAGAGAGCAAAGCCGACTGGCATGGTAGCTAGGTCTACATGCACGCGTACAGACACACGTACCGAAGCCGCCAGCTGGTGGGAAGCAGTGAGCTGCATCCCCCACTAGAATGACTCGCGGCTCATATGAATCATATCCCTTCCCAGAGAGACGCCCCTCACTCTCTGCCCACATGTTTCGCATGTTTGGATTGGAACTGACATGGGAGCTACAGGACTCTATTCTACACACACGTACCGAAGCCGCCAGCAGGGGGGAAACAATGGGCTGCATCCCCGACTAGGATGACACGCGGCTCATATGAGTCGTATGACTCGCATCCCTCCCCAGTGTTATGCCCCTCACTGCCCGGAGCTGGTGGTGATGGACGGTGTGAAGCGGTTGAAGGTATCTATCTATACACACGTACCGAAGCCGCCAGCCGGGGGGAAAGCGGTGGGCTGCATCGCCGACTAGGATGACACGCGGCTCATATGAGTCGTATGGATCGCATCCCTCCCCAGTGTTATGCCCCTCACTGCCCGGAGCTGGTGGTGATGGACGGTGTGAAGCGGTTGAAGGTATCTATCTATACACACGTACCGAAGCCGCCAGCCGGGGGAAAGCGGTGGGCTGCATCGCCGACTAGGATGACACGCGGCTCATATGAGTCGTATGGATCGCATCCCTCCCCAGTGTTATGCCCCTCACTGCCCGGAGCTGGTGGTGATGGACGGTGTGAAGCAGTTGAAGGTATCTATACACACGTACCAAAGCCACCAGCCGGGGGAAAGCGGTGGGCTGCATCCCCGACTAGGATGACACGCGGCTCATATGAGTCGTATAAGTCGTACCCCTCCCCAGTGTTATGCCCCTCACTGCCCAGTGCTGGTGCGGGGTGGTGCGAAGGTGTCGGGTGATGCGAAGCGGTTGGTGGTGGTGTGGAGAGGTTTTGTGAGGCGACGTGGGACGAAGCCGCAAGCAGTGCTGGTGCTGGGCGGTGTGAAGTGGTCGGCGGCGGTGCAGCGAGGTAGTGAGAGGCGACTTGAGCAGCCATGATCCAGGGCTTGACAGAGCGGATGGCGATGGGGATGGAAGAATCCCCTATCAACGCCCGCACCTTGCGCTCACAGTCCTGTAAACGAGTGAGCAGGGTGGGAGGGGATAAGGAGGGAGGCGACATGAGCCACTGTGATCCACGGCTTGGCAGAACGGATGGTGATGGGGATGGATGAATCCCGTATGAGTGCCCGCACCATGCGCTCACAGTGCTATTGATAGGTGAGAGGGGAAGGAGCGGTTAGAAGAGTGGAGGGGCAAGGGGAGGGAGGCGACTTGAGTGGCCATGATCCAGGGCTTGGCAACGCAGATGGCGATGGGGAGGGATGAATCCTCTTCTTGTGCCCGCACCATGCGCTCACAGCCCTGGTGGTGAGAGAGTGAGGGAATCCAGGGGAAAGGGAAGAAGGCGACTTGGGCGGCCATGATCCACGGCTTGACAGAGTGGATGGTTCTGAGTGCTGTTAACGGCGGGGTCTCCGAGTGCTGTTAACGGCGGGGTCTCCGAGTGCTGTTAACGGCGGGGTCTCCGAGTGCTGTTAACGGCGGGGTCTCCGAGTGCTGTTAACGGCGGGGTCTCCGAGTGCTGTTAACGGCGGGGTCTCCGAGTGCTGTTAACGGCGGGGTCTCCGAGTGCTGTTAACGGCGGGGTCTCCGAGTGCTGTTAACGGCGGGGTCTCCGAGTGCTGTTAACGGCGGGGTCTCCGAGTGCTGTTAACGGCGGGGTCTCCGAGTGCTGTTAACGGCGGGGTCTCCGAGTGCTGTTAACGGCGGGGTCTCCGAGTGCTGTTAACGGCGGGGTCTCCGAGTGCTGTTAACGGCGGGGTCTCCGAGTGCTGTTAACGGCGGGGTCTCCGAGTGCTGTTAACGGCGGGGTTCTCCGAGTGCTGTTAACGGCGGGGTCTCCGAGTGCCTGTTAACGGCGGGGTCTCCGAGTGCTGTTAACGGCGGGGTCTCGAGTGCTGTTAACGGCGGGTCTCCCGAGTGCTGTTAACGGCGGGGTCTCCGAGTGCTGTTACGGCGGGGTCTCCGAGTGCTGTTAACGGCGGGGTCTCCGAGTGCTGTTAACGGCGGGGTCTCCGAGTGCTGTTAACCGGCGGGGTCTCCGAGTGCTGTTAACGGCGGGGTCTCCGAGTGCTGTTAACGGCGGGGTCTCCGAGTGCTGTTAACGGCGGGGTCTCCGAGTGCTGTTAACGGCGGTGGTCTCCGAGTGCTGTTAACGGCGGGGTCTCCGAGTGCTGTTAACGGCGGGGTCTCCGAGTGCTGTTAACGGCGGGTTCTCCGAGTGATGTTAACGGCGGGTGGTCTCCGAGTGCTGTAACGGCGGGGTCTCCGAGTGCTGTTAACGGCGGGGTCTCCGAGTGCTGTTAACGGCGGGTCTCCGAGTGCTGTTAACGGCGGGGTCTCCGAGTGCTGTTAACGGCTGGGTCTCCGAGTGGTAACGCGTGGTCTCGAGTGCTGTTAACGGCGGGGTCTCCGAGTGCTGTTAACGGCGGGGTCTCCGAGTGCTGTTAACGGCGGGGTCTCCGAGTGCTGTTAACGGCGGGGTCTCCGAGTGCTGTTAACGGCGGGGTCTCCGAGTGCTGGTTAACGGCGGGGTCTCCGGAGTGCTGTTAACGGCGGGGTCTCCGAGTGGCTGTTAACGGCGGGGTCTCCGAGTGCTGTTAACGGCGGGGTCTCCGAGTGCTGTTAACGGCGGGGTCTCCGAGTGCTGTTAACGGCGGGGTCTCCGAGTGCTGTTAACGGCGGGGTCTCCGAGTGCTGTTAACGGCGGGGTCTCCGAGTGCTGTTAACGGCGGGGTCTCCGAGTGCTGTTAACGGCGGGGTCTCCGAGTGCTGTTAACGGCGGGGTCTCCGAGTGCTGTTAACGGCGGGGTCTTGTTGGCGAGTCGATTGCTGTTAACGGCGGGGTCTCCGAGTGCTGTTAACGGCGGGGTCTCCGAGTGCTGTTTAACGGCGGGGTCTCCGAGTGCTGTTAACGGCGGGGTCTCCGAGTGCTGTTAACGGCGGGGTCTCCGAGTGCTGTTAACGGCGGGGTCTCCGAGTGCTGTTAACGGCGGGGTCTCCGAGTGCTGTTTAAACGGCGGGGTACTCCGAGTGCTGTTAACGGCGGGGTCTCCGAGTGCTGTTAACGGCGGGGTCTCCGAGTGCTGTTAACGGCGGGGTCTCCGAGTGCTGTTAACGGCGGGGTCTCCGAGTGCTGTTAACGGCTGGGTCTCCGAGTGCGTTAACGGCGGGGTCTCCGAGTGCTGTTAACGGCGGGGTCTCCGAGTGCTGTTAACGGCGGGTCTCCGAGTGCTGTTAACGGCGGGGTCTCCGAGTGCTGTTAACGGCGGGGTCTCCGAGTGCTCGCACCATGCGCTCGCAGCCCTGTGAGAGATCGACTGAAGGAAAGAATGTGAGAAGGAATTCCTTCATTCTTCAGTGGGGGGATTTCCTTCAGTGCTTGCCTGCTCGCACCATGCACTCGCAGCCCTGTGTTCATGAGGTGGGGAGGCAGGAGTAAGATAGAGGGGATTGAGATCAGCAGCAAAGCACAACCAAGGGAAGAAACACATGCGTGAAGCAAATCAAGGTGACTTTTGAGTAAATCATGAAACAGAAAAATCTCCCTGGAAACTCAAGTTGCTTACCAATCTGTCAACCTGTGTGAACAGTACCATAGTAGTGTGCATCCCTGACGTTTTGCACGAGTTCGAACCCTGATAACAGAAGTTACCACCTTTGATTGGTGGAGGTGCCTTAGAAAATATGATCGAACCACTCACCTCCTTTGATTGCTTACATATAGCACAAAATTTCCAGTCCTAAATGGCTGAGCTAGGGATGAGCAAAGGGCGAACACGGACATGTTCGTGTTCGCCCCTTCTCGAACACGTCCTTTTGCCGAACCGAACAGTGTTCGGCTCGGCGAACAGTTTAGCCAAAAACAGGTGTTCGCTGTTCGCCTGTGGAGGCGTGTTCGGGCGAACCTCGAACACGTTCGTGTTCGACACGAGGCGTTTTGCAGCAGCGCCACGAACACCAACGTGTTCGGGCGAACATCGAACACGTTCGGGCGAACGATTTAAGCTGAAAAAACAAAACCTGTTCGGTTCGCCTCGAACACGTTCGAGGCGAACCGAACAGGTGTTCGCCACCTTGCTCAAGCCTAGGCTGAGCTACCGTTAAAAAAATAATCAAATCACTTACCTCTTGTGATGGCACATTCTTGCCGTCCGAGTAGAGAGGAATCTAGGACATGGGGAGCCGCAGGGAAGAAGAAGAAGGAAGAGGCAATGCGATGTGGGCGGAGGGTTGGAGAGAGTACGAGGCAATGCGATGTGGGCGGAGGGTTGGAGAGAGTACGAGGCAATGCGATGTGGGCAGAGGGTTGGAGAGAGTAAGAGGCACTGTTGAGAATTCTCAAAAGCCATGGAGAGTTTTAGGGGAGGGCAAGAAGGAGGGGGCAAGTATTGTGGGCGGAGTGGAGGGTTGGAGAGTAGGAGACGAGATAAGTAAGATGAGAAGAACGACGAGAGTGGGGAGAATGAGGAGGGAGGGGGTATGGATGGATGCGATAACGCACTCAACAATCCACCTTACCCGAGCTGCTAAACACTCTCAATTCCCTCACCTGGGCAACAAACTCCCCTTCCCTCAAGCAGTGCGCCACCCCCACCCCCACGCCCTCCCCTGTGGTACACAGAGCAGCGCATGGCGGGGCGGGGCAGAGCCTACTGGAGCGGGGCGGGGCAGAGCCTACTGGGGCGGGGCGGGGCAGAGCCTACTGGGGCGGGGCGGGGCAGAGCCTACTGGGGCGGGGCGGGGCAGAGCCTACTGGGGTGCCTCAAACGTGCTCCTCACCTGCGCGACAAACTCCCCTTCTCTCAAGCAGTGCGCCACCCCCACCCTGACCCTCCCTGTTGTTAACAAAATAGTGCATGGCAGGGCGGGGCAGCGACAACTGGGGTGCCTCAAACGTACTTCTCACCTGCGCGACAAACTCTCCCTCTCTCAAGCAGTGCGCCACCACCACACCGACCCCCTCGCTGTTGTACACGAAATAGAGCATGGCGGGGCGGGGCAGCCAGCGCAACCACATCCTTTCCACAGTGCCTCAGTGCCCTCACCTGGGCGACAAACTCTCCTTCTCTCAAGCAGTGCGCCACCACCACCCCGACCCCCTCTGTGTTGTACACGAAATAGAGCATCGCTGGGCGGGGCAGCGCCAGCAGCCTCAACCCGAGCGGGCGTGAGGAGAAATGCACCGACAGCACCCGCTGCAGCTGCCTGTGCCCCTGCATTGTCACTTGATGCAGTTCCCCTCCCCCCCTCTGCCCCTGCATGAACAACTGCTCGGCCTCTTCTTTTCCGCGGCTATGATTGGCTGCGTCGCCTGACTCGTCTGGTCTTTGGGATGGTTGAGCCGGGACAAAACTCGCCGCCCGGATGCTGCTGTTAGCACCATCACAGCCAATCAAGTATGAGCAGTCAATCTCAAGGTTTTGGGGGAGAGGAGGAAGAGAGTTGAGAGGAGGAGGGGAGGCGGTAAGAGGAGGCGGCAGGAAGGATGCGGCTGTGTGTTGTTGGTGGTGGTGCTGCTGCTGACGTTGCTGATGTTGCAGCTTTAGCTGATGTTGGTTCTGCTGCTGCTGCTGGTTCTGAGTCAGAGAATTTTCTAAGGAGGATTCCAAATTCGGTGTAGCGCAGAGGCTAACTCTTATAGGCTTCTCCGATGCTGATCTTATAAAGGGGATGGTCTGGGAGCCAGTAGAAGACTTGGAGTAAGTGGAAGGGGGAGAGACGGGGGAGGGAGAGGCAGTGGAGGAAATGGTAGGGGAAGGGGTAGTGGGAGTGGTGGAAGGATGATCACAGATGGGTTGAGTGGGGCTGGTAGGATGTTGCAGAGTGGAGGAGCGGAAAGGAATGGACGGATGAGATTGAACGTGGGAGAAGGAATCAGCGGCGTAACCAAAGAGAACAGGTGGCAGCTGTAACCCGTTGCTCTGTGGTAACCCCACATCTTGTTGTAACCGCTCGTGTTCTGGGTACCGCTCTTGGTGTGGTAACCCATTTCTATCTTGTGGTAACCGTTTTTGCTGCTGAGAAAAGCGTGAATCCGATATTGCCTGCTCCAGCAGCAGCGGCAGCAGCTTGTTCTGCGAGAAATGGGCCACAGAGGCTGGGCTTATTTGCGATAGGCCTGCACATGAGGGGAGGAGGGAGGGGGAAGGAGATGAGGTAGAGGGGTAAAGAAAGAGAGACGGATGGTGCCTGCTCTAGCAGCAGCAGCAGCAGCAGCTTGTTTTGGGAAAAATGGGCCACAGAGGCTGGGCTTATGTGCGATAGGCTGGGCTTATGTGCGATAGGCTGGGCTTATGTGCGATAGGCTGGGCTTATGTGCGATAGGCTGGGCTTATGTGCGATAGGCTGGGCTTATGTGCGATAGGCTGGGCTTATGTGCGATAGGCTGGGCTTATGTGCGATAGGCTGGGCTTATGTGCGATAGGCTGGGCTTATGTGCGATAGGCTGGGCTTATGTGCGATAGGCTGGGCTTATGTGCGATAGGCTGGGCTTATGTGCGATAGGCTGGGCTTATGTGCGATAGGCTGGGCTTATGTGCGATAGGCTGGGCTTATGTGCGATAGGCTGGGCTTATGTGCGATAGGCTGGGCTTATGTGCGATAGGCTGGGCTTATGTGCGATAGGCTGGGCTTATGTGCGATAGGCTGGGCTTATGTGCGATAGGCTGGGCTTATGTGCGATAGGCTGGGCTTATGTGCGATAGGCTGGGCTTATGTGCGATAGGCTGGGCTTATGTGCGATAGGCTGGGGTTATGTGCGATAGGCTGGGGTTATGTGCGATAGGCCTGGGGAGGGGGAGAGGAGATGGGGCACAGGCGCACAGGGATTAAGAGAAAGAGACAGATGGTCACTGTGTCGCTTTTGAGAATTCTCAAAAGGAGGGGGAGAGGAGATGGGATGGGGCACAGCCGCACAGGGATCAAGAGAAAGAGACAGATGGTGACTGTTTTTGAGACGTCTCAAAAACGCCCTCACCTCACGTGGCCTGGGGAGGGGGAGGGGAGATGGGGCACAGCCGCACAGGGATCAAGAGAAAGAGACAGATGGTGACTGTGCCAGCAGCAGCTGTGGCATAAACCAGTTCTGTGAGAAATGCGCCACAGCAGCGTGTGCGTGCAGTGCACACAAACAAGCACAACGCTGCTAAATTCCCTCCCCTCCCCTTCCCCCCTCCCTTCCCCTCCCATCCCCTCCCTTACCTTCCTGCCATTTAAAGCGATCCTGCTTCCCCAGCTCTCGCCCCAGCATGTGCGTGCAGTGCACAAACGAACTCCAACCCTCTCAACCCCTCTCAACACCTCTCCACCCACTTCCCATCTCCTCGCTGCACCTTCCCTCCCTTCCATTACCTCCCTGCCCTTTGAAATGGTCCTGCTTCCCCAGCTCTCGCCCCAGCATGTGCGTGCACAGCACATGCAAGCACCACCGCTCTCAACCCCTCTCCACCCACTTCCATTCCCCTCCCATCCGCTCCCTTACCTTCCTGCCCTTTGAAGTGATCCTGCTTTCCCAGCTCCCGCCCCAGCATGTGCGTGCAGTGCACAAACGACCGCCACTCCTCTAAAGGGGGCTGCTGACTTGTGATGTGATTGTAAAGGGGGCCCATGAGGCGAAATATCTGCGATAGATTGGACCGGGGTGGGAGGGGGTGGGTGCCAGTGGGGGGAAGGGAGATAGAGAGAACAAGAGCATTGAAAGAGGGAAGAGGCTGCTGACTCGTGAAGTGATTGAGAGGGCCATGAGGGGAACGAACATGATCCTGTTTTCAAACCCCAGCTCCCGCCCCAGAATGCGCGTGCAGTGCACAAACGACCGCCACTCCTCTAAAGGGGGCTGCTGACTGGTAATGTGATTGTAAAGAGGGCCCATGAGGCAAAAAATCTGGGGGAGGGAGGTTTGGAAGGAAAGAAGGGAAGGAAGTGAGACAGAGATTAGTTGATTGTTAAGGGGGCGCATGAGGGGAAACACCTGGAGTAGGATAAGAGGGAAGGTACAGGAGCTGTCAGAAACAGTTGTGCCCGACGGCGAAACAAAGTGACTTTTGAATCAACTCAAAAGGCGAAACATGTGGAGTAGGATAAGAGGGAAGGAACACTTGGAAGGGAAAAAGGATGGAGAGAGAGCGAGAATATTCCCAGATTGCTTTGTATGCATGAAACCTATAACTCCTGTATGCGTGTAAAACGACTATATCATGAAAGGACCATTAGAGAGAGAGGGAGAAAATTCCAGAGTAAACATGATGTGACTGTAAAGGGGGTCAAGTTGTTTGAAACGTGTTGGCGATATGGGTGAACCTGATTATACAGGATAGGAAATGGATGGGAAAACATGTGATTATACTGGAAGTTAACGTGCCAAGGCTCAAACAACAAGAGTAAACACACCTTCAAGTGGGCTGCCTGACCTGTGCCTCTGCATTGCAAACAATGCCATAGGATTTACATGACATATGGTTGCCTTGCCACTGCTGAAAAGAGCTGAAAAGAGCTGAAAGGTGCAGAAAAGTGCAGAAAAGTGGTGAAAAGTGCTGGATGGAAGGTGGCGCACCTTTTAAGTGACCTGGCTGACCCGTGCCTGAGCAAAACAAACCAAGCCATTGCAAAGCCATAATATTCACATGGCATGGCATGGCTAACAAAGTCACATGCTATCCTATCCATCACATGCCATCATAGTGACCGTGTATCATCACATGCCATCATAGTGACCGTACATCATCACATGCCATCATAGTGACCGTGTATCATCACATGCCATCACAGTGACCGTACATCATCACATGCCATCATAGTGACCGTACCTCATCACATGCCATCATAGTGACCGTACATCATCTCATGCCATCATAGTGACCGTACATCATCACATGCCATCATAGTGACCGTACATCATCACATGCCACATCCCATCATGCATTCTTTGGCGTACCTCCATGGTTCTGTTGTTAATAAGATGCGCTGCGGGATGCTGCTGCAGCCCATGCTCCCTCTCCACCACCACGTTCCGAACGCCTAGTAAAAGGAAGGAAGTTGAGAATATGCACGGATGAGATGAGGGGAGGGAAGCACAACCTTGCGAGTGCTGCTGCAGCCCATGCTCCCTCTCCACCACCACGTTCCGAACGCCTGGGAAGAGGGGAGGAGAAGGAAAGGGGAGGGGAGAAAAGGGCGGCAGTTGATATGCTGCTGCAGCCCATTCTCCCTCTCCACCACCACATTCCCAACGCCTGGTTAAAGGGGGATGGGAATATGAGGGGAGGAGGGGGAAGCACAAGCTATGAGTGACCTTTCTAGCCACTGCGGGATGCTGCTGCAGCCCATGCTCCCTCTCCACCACCACATTCGGAACGCCTGGTAAAAAAGGGGATGAGAATATGAGAGGAGGAGGGGGAAGCACAGCGTATGAGTGACATTGCTAGTGCTGTTGCGGGATGCTGATGCAGCCCATGCTCCTTCTCCCCCACCCCATTTCGAACACCTGAAGAAGGGGGGAGGGAGGAGGAGAGAAGCTGAGCGAGCCGTTCAGGCCTGCATGGCACCCTTGCCTTGCTCCTGCTGCTGCAGCCCATGCTCCTTCTCCCCCACCACATTCCGAACACCTGGAGAGGGAGAGGAGGAGTGGATGTGAGGGTGAGAGGAGGAGAGGAAAGCGCAGCCCCACAAGGGAACGCATACCCCAATGTGACCCATCTAGAGCCAGCATGCTGCCCCTGCTCCTGCTCCTACTGCTGCTACTCTAGCTGTGGGATGCTGCTGCAGTGCAGCCCATGCTCCCTCTCCCCACCACCACGCTCAGAACGCCTGGAGAGAGGGAGAGGGAGAGAGCATTTAACAAGCCTGCCTGTACTGTAACGTGCATTACTGCTCGCTTACTTGCGACAGCATAATGGAAAGGGAGAGCCCCACCGGCCCCGAGCCCACAATCACTACCGGCACTAACGAATCTGCTTAGAACGCGTACATTACTGCTCACCTAAACGCGAGAGCATGATGGAAAGGGAGAGCCCCACCGGCCCCGCGCCCACAATCACCACCGGCACCGACGCTCGCGCAACCGATCCTCCGCCGTTCTTCCCGCTATCCCCTCCGCCAATCGCAGCCGTTGATCTAGCTGCCGCCAAACCAGCAGGGACCGATCTAACGGCCGTGGGTCCATCAGAAGCGCTAAATCCGCGCGCCGGGAAAATTAACCCTTTAGAGAAGCTGTGAAGGATGGATTTCGATGAAACGAGGAGAGTACAAGTTAGCCGGCGCACATGACGGTGCGGAAACCAGATTGTCGGGAACATAGGCGAAACAGTTACCGTGGCGAATGATTGCGTCGGGTGAACCTACAGGCGCTTAGAGACGAAGTCTACTATCTACACGTGGAAACCCTGGATTTCTGCGAAAGCGGCTTGACGGAGGACGTGTCATGCGCCGCGACTCGCCAAGTGATCGAATCCAGGTCGTGCAGGGCTAAACTATCGCTTCCTTTCCTTTCTTCTAAGCGTCCTCTGCGAAGCGGGGGGCGAGGTGGAGGAGGAAAGAAAATAAACTTGGGCTGGCTCATTTATATTCGATACTGGCTGAATTCTTTATACCACATTACTTATCCACGATCAAGTTTTTGTAGAAACCCTAAACTACATTCGAATTGTGACGCCAGAAGACTGGCAAATTTTTTGGGGGGCACACCCTGCGGAATGAACGAAGAACATTTGTTATTTGGTAACATATCTCGCAAGTTGTTACTTTCCTTTGTTGGTGATGGTGAAAGCTGAGGCTTGGGCGTGAGCTGGACGAAGTCACGTGCTCGTTTTTTTCGCAGTCTCTTTGTGCAGTTGTCGGTACGGGAGGTCATTTCGTTCGACTCGCACGGTCGTGGATGTTGCAACAAGGTGAGACAGCCACAATCGGTCAGCAGGTCTCACCTTGTTGCAACATGTCGTACACGAAGTCATTCTTGGCCGTCCCACATTCTTGCAAACCGGTATACTCACCGTTCACGGCACTTGTTCAAACGGCTGACCGATTCGCTAGTTTGAAGCCTGTCCCGCGGGACTGCTGTGACATCCAGAATTCTGTCGACAACTGTACAACGAACCGACATGGAGAGGTTGGTCGGTCCGAGCTGAAAACTTTCCATCGACATTTGCCTTCGACGAAAATCCCACGCCGCCAAACGACGAGTCCACTCCACCACAACACAGATCGTGCGACTGACCGTGGATCGCACATGGTCAGATGCGATCGTGGTATATACGCCTACCACCTTCCATCCACCCTACAATCCAACTCGTAGTCCGTAAGATTGGCCTAGAGTGACAAGGACGACAGACCTACGAAAGCCTGTGACTGTATGGTGGACCTGGTCAACCCTCCTCAGATCATCCGAAGCGCGACACCGCGACATTCAACGCTTGCACTTCACCCACGCGATCTCAGCCGTCGGTAATCAAGCCCATCAAACGCACCGCTCGGGATGCGATTCGTCGAACAAACATTGTAGCTGTTGAAATACTCCAACTTCTTGTGCTTCCATCATCCACCAACAAATTCCCTCACTCAGCAAACTTCAATCGTTTCCTCATTCCTCTTCAATAGCCGTGAATTATTCAGCCGATATAGTCAGCAAAATCGACCATCACAGGCAAACATTTGATTGCAGCGATCTGACAGTAACACCGCCTAGCTCATTCAAAACCATAGAAACAGCCCCTTCATCAAATTCGGTTATGGCGAGAAAGTGTACCCTCCTTATTGTGCTTCTCCTGCCCCTCGTCACGCTTCTCCTACTCAACCATCTCCCCGCAGCCACAGCTCTCCCTCGCCCTCGACGATCGCTCCTAGGTCGTCTGCTGAAGCCTCTGATTCACCGCTTCGACAGTCTCAAGGCTGAGCTGGGTTTCGAAACAGGTCGCAGTGATGAAACCGCTGCTGTCACGTGGAGGGACATGTACCAACAGCACCTGATTTCTAAAATCGAGCCGTCGAACGACAAGAAACTGCTCGCTGCGTTTGCCAATTCCAATGACGTACTCCTCGCTCCGACGGATCACGGCGTCGCGGCGCAACCGCCGCCGCAGCATGCGGCCAAAAAACGGGTAACAGAGTCAACTTCGACTGAGTCAACCGCAACCGCCGCGCCCGCCGCCGGCGCCGTCGGAGCTGCACCCGCCGACGCCACATCATCCATCATCAACACGGATTCGTCCGTTTCAGCGGCCACCGACACTCCGATCGGTACTACTACTACTGCTAACGAAGGTCACTCGAAGTCAACAGCCGCCGGAGCGACTCGTACTACTACCATGCCGCGCCGGTCCATGATCGCGTTCGCACCCGCACCGCCCCCAGCATACTACGAGCCGTTCAGGCGCCGCAGCATGATGAGCCGCCAGCTGCGCGGCGGCAATGGTTCTCCACGACGGTCAACGCTCGACGCCAATCCCGCCTCTGCTCCCGCATCTGAGCCGTCCGTCCCCGGCCGCCGGTCCGTGCTCGAATTTCCCGGGAATCAGGTCAATGCGCCCAGCAACCATGCCCCCGATAGCGCGCCTTGCCCCGGAGCCGCCCCCCAGACCCGCGGCGTGGGAGGTTCCGCCCCGTTCCCCCTCGCGTGCCCGAACCCAGAACCCTCCGCGATGTGCGATTTCGTGTTCAATAAATCGATGGACGTGATTCCAACCATCACCCTCCCTGCGTTGGTGACGGACGCACCACTCGATGTAACTCCATCCGAAATTGTGACAGTCGTTGGTGGTGCAGACTTGGAGGAGGCTACAGCAAACGAATCTGCGCTGGTTTGCTCCCCGGAAGTTGCAAAAACATTATCCGACGACGTTCCCCTTCAGTTTCCGGACGGCGTTTTCGAGATTCGCGATTCGACTGCGCTCGTGTACAACGGGCAACTGATGAAAGAGATTCTCGACAGCAGCAGTCTTGGAAACAGCGGGAACGAGTGGGCAAAAACGTTCCGCGCCGACGCTGCGGGGAAAGACGGCGCGCTCGTTCGCGTTCAAATCGAATCCGCTACGCTGAATCTCTACGGGACGGAGACTAAGGTCGGCAAGGGTACAAACAATGGCCCATCCGGCTCAAATCTCGGTAGCGGTTCTGGCGCGAGTGGCAATGGCGAGAATGGTGATCTCATGGGCGTTCAATACTTCCCTTACGAAAGGCTCTGTGTTTTGTTTCGGGTGAAGCTCGCTTGAGGCGGCGCGGCAGCGGTGGTATACTTCGCGAACCGAAGTTCGTGTAGATAGCATGGACTATTGGCATGCACATCTCGCTACACTGCATTGTACATCTCGCCATACTTACCGTATACTCCCGGACAAAACACCCCCCCATAATTGTACACCCCCGGGTAGCTTGTGCGGGGTGGGTGTTATGATAGACCTCGTTTCTACTATACCCCCCTTTTTGGCTGATTTTCTATAACACCCCCCTTTTCTTACGGATTCATTATTATAGTCGTTAACGAGTAGCTGCAATACGGAAGAATATCGTGTGAATTTCTCCCTCAATGAAATTTCGCGGTACATTCAAAGGCAATCTGCCGAGATTTGCCCCCTCCCACCAGGGCCTCAGATTGGTTTCAGGCTAGGCTGAAAGATCAGAGTTGGTACAAAATTCTATGCTGAAAAACAGAGAAATCAGCCCATTTTATGCCATTTTACACTACAAATATAGTAAAAAATCCTGTTTCTTCACAAAAAAATTGCTGGAAAATCAACATCGATTCTGAAAAAGGTCTGAAATCTCAGCCTTTTTTACTTAAATCAGCCTTTTTTCGCTGACTTCTGAGGCCCTGCCTCCCACTATTTCTCTGTTGCCACGTGCAGGTGAATCTTCCGTTGCAAGTGGCAAGAGAGGTGCCACATGGCATTTTCGTGAGGGCGATGAAGTTCGAGGCCGAAACCAGGGTCCTCGCTGTTGGAAACAATCGGTCCTAAGCGCCTCTGTCGTGTCGAAACACTAAAGACACAAGTGAAGCAACGCATATCGAGGCACCAGCGAGTCAACCCTCGGAAGTTGAAGCAACAGCTGGAGGTTACGCGAAGGTCAAAGGTCAGCGACCTTTGACTTGACAAATGCAGCGCGACAGCAAGGACACACAATTGACTCGATATTGAGCAGTTGCCCGAGTCGCACAGTATCGAACCGCAACAGCCAACAGTAAAACAGTTATCATTCGTATCTCTTCGTATTCCTTGTAATCATATATAAAATCTTGTATCTCCTTGTTTTAATCAACTTACTTTGCCCTCACATACTAGCGCAAGGTGGTTCAGAATCTCTTTGTTAACGCTTCCGCTACTACATCATTCTACCCAGAGATTAACCCTACCAAAGATCCTAAGGGGCACTCAGCCCAACATGGTATGAGAGCTGGTTAGGGTTAAAATTCTATTTCCCCTTAAATTACACCAAGAGACATGTCGACCAGAAAGGAGAGGAGCTCCTCCAACGGCTCTCCTGGTACTACTCCTACTCCACCTCCTGCTTCTGGCCTACAGACAGAGGAAGGCACAACAACGAGACCGGCCGCTGGGTCTACTGAAACACCCGCAAACCAAGGCGCGGGCTTCGATCCAAGCATGATGGAGAAGTTCTTCTCCTTCATGTCCTTCTACGAGCAGCATCAGCAAGGAGTACCTGCGCAATCAAACAACAGCAACAACAACAACAACAACAACGTGACACCCATGAGTCTCGATGGCTCATCCTACGCACGCGGGAATCAACAACAACAACCTACCTTCGCTCCGTACGAGCCCCAGCGCGGCTCCGTCAGCTTCATGCCACAACCACAACCTGCACCGGGACAAGAAAGAACGCTGGACGCACTACAAGTTCAGTCGCAGTTCGCGCACGTTTTAAAACTGCAAACGACAAAACCTTTCGACGGGAAGGACTTCTTTACCTAGTCGTTCGAATTCGAGCTGATGATGGAAGGAGCGCAAATCCTTGGCTTCTTCGACGGGTCCCTGCCATACCCAACAAACGGCACACAGTATGAGAAGCAGCAGTACACCTATCAATCGATGATGGCGTACACGATACTACTGAGGAACATCACCCCGACTCAACAGCAGAACATAAGGACTTACCGAGGTTATGGCAACTCCGCGGAGCTCGCGTACAATCACTTGAAGAACATGTATCAAGCAACAGACAGCGTAAACCAAAGTCGGTTAATGGCGCAGCTGACAACAATCGAAATGAAACCAGGCGAGAAGGGAATGGCGTATATCAGTCGCTGCCGCGAGCTGCGCGACAAGCTTCTTCGATGTGGAGGATC